CATGACAAAAAAAAATTAGAAAAACTTTACAGAACAAGTGAAACTCAATATATTATAGCACCACACCCCAACAACAGTAAAAACTAATGAAAGTCTTGAAAAAACTTGACATAATATATATACCTATATTATTAATGCAGCTCTTCAGCATATTCCAAACAAAAAATATGCAATTAAATTTTTCTACCACACATTTACACCAAAAGCTATACAATTACATAAAGACCTTAAAATGATAGGACATATAATTTACCATACTAAGAAATATTTCTTACACAACATCCTATTACCAGATAATATATCCGCACTCATAGATGATATAAACAAAAAACACGATTTCTCAATCAGTTTACTACCAGAACAAATCTCAGACCTGGCTACTTGAATACAAGACACTCAAATATGCTGGAAGACCTTATATAATGCCAGAAATTTAGAAAATGCACAATATCTAAGGAAGTATATTAACAATGCTATAGAAAAAGATGTGACCATTTACTAACACAATCTACCAAAATGATTAACAGTATACTGAATAGACATAAAGAAACAGTCCACTTCTATATCATTAAAACAGACACACATGTTATTACTGATCCTACAGAAATCAAAGAACATATAACTAATCACTATAACAAATAGACAGCACATTACCCATTTAATAATTTAATCTTTAATCAAGACTGGCAATTAAAATACTCACCCAAAACTAATATTAATACCAACTAGTACAATTCAATATTAGATAAAATCACAATAACAGAAGTTCTACAAACAATTCAACAACTTCTAAATAATAAAGCTAGTGGACTATCAGGCATTAGCTATGAGATGATTAAATATATAGGACCAGAAATGCTCCAAGCAATTACTGCACTATTAAATAGATGCTTTAGTACACAGAACATCTCTAAACAATGGAAGAATAGTAGGATATACCTCATCTCAAAGAAGCCTCAATTTGATAGAAATCTTAATAACACCTGGCCAATCAGTCTTATAGAATATACAAAAAAACTATATACCAAAATCCTAACTAATCGTCTAATCCAAGTATTTTTAAAATATACAATCCTTAATCTTCACAATTATGTTGCATTCCCAGTCAACTCTACCAATAATCCCATACACATACTCAATAACTTTATAGAAGATGCCAAATATACTAAAAACAAATTTGAATATTATTACAAGATATGAGTAAAGCTTACAACTCAGTAAACCTCCAACTTCTCAACAAAGCTTTACTATGGCTTAATATGCCTCTACATCTAGTCAATATTATAACAAATCTCTTGCTCGACCGCTCCAACCAAGTTATTAGTAATTTTGGGCTCACCCCCCTCTACCAAGTACAAAATAGTATTGATCAAGGAGAGACCATTACACCTCTCCTTGTGTATTTACTACGACTCCTTAATCAGCCAAATAAGTAAAAAATTCATAGAATACTCTTCATCAGTCCAATGACCAGTACAAATTAAACTAATTCAATATCAATCTACTACAGCATCCACCTCTGTGCTAGCATATATGGATGATACACTATGGCTCGCTAAGTCAATTGAAGAACTCCAAGAAATCACCCAAACAGCATCTTCCTTCTACAAAATATCTCATATTAAAGTCAATCCTCACAAATCAACTTTAATATTAAACACTTAATCTACTTCAACATTAACTTTATGGATCATTCCATACAAACACAACCTTGCTACACACCATTTAAATTTCTAGGCTGCTGGTTAGGGTGAGTGGCATGAAGGTTATGGGCATGCCACCATGGCATGCCAATAGTGGTATGCTAATGGCATGCCCGAATTCCAAATTGTCTATAGGCATGCCATTTATATAAGAAGAACCAATTCACGTGATAATAAACCAATCAAAATTTAAATTTCGAAAAATTAGAATTTTAGCTTCACGTAATGCTAATGCCAATGAACTCATGTTTAATCTTCTTTCTCTATTAGCATCAAACAAGCGTAAATTACATCAGGCTTTTAGATCTACGCCTCATATGATATTACTAGTTCTAGTCAGTGATTTTAGATTTTACTCAGATTATATAATCATAAAAGCTTGACTATGATGTACATATTTAACTCTTACTAAAATACCACACAAGTCCAGATTACAAGTTTACTGATTTATTAATTTATGCTTTAGGTCTTATACACATTTACTCTTTCTCATACTTTGATGAATTTATTGCTACGCATTTTTTTTTTTACCTTTTCAAATTTAAATTCTAACGGATTACTTTATTTGAGATTCGAATTCACTTTTTTAAAAATTTTTATTAATTTTTATCAAGACAATGTAATATGCCAGAATAAAAAAAAAAACTTACATAGATTTTTGTAAATTTATAACGCAGCATTATATTGAAAGAAGATATCGTCAACTGACCAATCTTTGTTAGTACTGCTGGTAGGTCTTTGAGGATTAACAACTGAATCCTCTTCAATCATATCTTTTCGATTTTGTTTAAGTATTCTAATATTAAAGAATTGTTCTATTGCTAGTTCATTTTCCACTTCTATATTTGCTGCCTCAACATTTATTTGCAAAAATTCTTCATTAAATTCATCCTTGAAGATATCAACATCAGTGCCTTCACTATTTATAGAGTTTTCAAATAAATGCTGATCATTTACTTTAGTTTTTTTTTTTTGTATTTTAGGTAGTTTTTGTTGAAGATCATAGCGAAGCATCCCAAGCATTCCCGTTAAAACAGGCGACATCCTGTTTCGTAACTTAGTTTTTGCTAGTCCCAAACTAGAAAACAAATGTTCAACGGATGCTGAATGTGGAACAATTGCAAATATCTTCATAGCAAAATGCTGAAGAAGAGGTAAACCTCCTGTAAACTTGGTCCAGAAAATTCTGGTATTAATATTTTCAGGATACAGATTTTCAAAAAGAACATCACCATTCTTATAACTAATAAGTTCTTTAAACAAAAGCATTGCTTCTTTTTGATCAAATCTCCAGGCTTTTGCTAACTCCAAAGATGCTCTAACGATTAAATCTCCTGACATTTGTCCTGACACTGCCATTTGTTTGTGGCTAGGTGATAAAAAAAATGAAACAAAATAGATGCCATCAGAAAATTCATGTGTCCGTTTATCAAGAGTGCTAAGGCATAATTTCTAAATCCTTCAATTGAAATATTTTCTGTAGAAATGATGCAATAAATATTTATAAGTTCTTTAAAGATATCTGCTAAGGTGGCATCTCTTGATTCAAGACGACCGATAGCATCAACGACAGGGACAAGCGCTTTTATTAAAGTGTCATTGTTTGCAAAGTGGTGGCGGTTGGTAATTATGTTTTGAATTTCTGTTCTTATTGCCGGGTAGTTGTTGGTTTTACTCGCACAACATATTAGCTGAGGGAGGATTATAGTTTAGTGCCAACTCATTAAAGAATTTAAGGAAATAGAGATTTTCAATAACTTTAAAAAAAAGATTACCATAGATAATGGCATTAAGCAACTTTTTATTTGTTTTAGCTTGCTTATCCTGTGAAAATGGTTTTATATACCAATTTGTTAAATTTTCTTGACGTTTTACTACCGAAGAGGATGAACCATCAGTGTTGCTACAAAAGTTTTTAGGTTTAGTAAAAAAAAAAAAAAAAAAAAAAAAAAAAAATGCTGTTATATACATAAGTGATTCCTGATCAGAAATTAAATTCTTTTTAACTTTTTTATGAGCATTAGATTTAAGACTTATTACTTTCTTAATATAAGAGTTTTTCACTGTTACAGGCCAACTATCATATGTGAGAACATGAATATGAAGTTTTTCAGGTCTGCCAGGTAGTTCAAAATTGCAGTAAGTACATTTAGCAGTATATCTATTGCCAGCTCCC